TAAGTCTTATTAATTCTTTAAGATCAAAAGTTTGAAATTAATAAGTTCTGCAATAAATTTTAAAAATATAATAGCTGATATAAAAAACCAAAAAAGAGTTTGCAGAAAAGCACATCTGTAAATCTTAAATATCAATCAGCTTTCATGGAAAAAAAGTTCTCAAATTTCAGCAGTAGGGGGGCTTTTTATAGGCAATCTATTCTTACTTGGGGATGTTAAAATATAATAGTTAACACATGTATAAAAGAAAAAGAGGACAGACATAACCTTATTGAAATTCAATGTGCATGTATGTATACATATAATTTTTACATCCTAATTTTAATCATTTGATTTCCATCACTTTCTCTGCAAAATATTTTAATGATTCCCCTAATGGGCACACAAACTGGCTAATAAAGTTTCTTTCCCATTTCCGACTAATTTTATGTAGGAATTGTTGATGAAATAATCAAAAAGTAAACAGAAGAAAAGAAGGGCTTGAATTATCTAAGTCAAGATATGCAGTCTGTCATTAACCTCCACAAAAAATTTTACTTACATCTGCTTAAAAAGTTGTCAATATTTTTGTTTTTTCTTAAGGCCGGAAAATCCAAATCATATACCAAGGCATCCAGTCCATCCTAAATAAACAAACAAATAAAGAGTTAGTTTTGGGATCATACTATTAACATTTTCATTTTTTATAAGTCAAGCATAAAACGTATGCTTTAACATTTAGTTCCCCCTCTAATACATCTTACATTCATTTAACACTTCTAGAAGAGAAAATCTGTTTTATTTCATATACAGATTTTTTTACGACTGAACTCTGCCAGGCAGAAGAGCAGCACAATCACTACAGATCGGCTGCCCGTTTCCCCTTTTAAGAGCATGAAATTTTACTTTTCATTTCCCCATACTACTTCATTTCACAGACACTCATCAAAAAGAAATTATCTGTATCTGTGACTACAAATATTTTCAACGTAGTAGCTAAGTAAGAGTTCATAAAACATTAAGTTTAGTACAAAATAAACTCTGGATAATCACAAATGGAAATATACCCATTTTTAATTATTAAAAATACATCAGGTTGTCATAAGGGTTCTCTCTCTTTGAAGTACTTTCTAGGGCAACCAGTAGTAAGGGGGATATATGGGCTTTTGCTTTTAAGGGGATATGTAAATATTAACTAGGTAGGAATGGGCAATGTGAAGGTGTACCAATCTGCTAAACTGGGAAGGTACGATATCCTGTCATGTCGCAAGAAAAAGAGAATATTCAGATAATCCCAGGTAATATTCCTTTTTTCAAAAAAGTTGGGGAAATTTAGTTTGTTCCTGCACAGCCCAAGAATAAAAGGAGAAGCAGTAATGGAAGACACACCTACTGCAGACCCTGTACAGTAATGTTCATAAAAGACTGAAGAAGAAATTAAAGCCAGAGGATAAACAGACTTTAGACACTGTGTTACACCGTGGGGTGAATCATTCAGCTATTTTAGAATACTTAAAATATTCCCCTAGGAGACTGAAATGCAGAGTCAAATTTAAACAGGCAATTAAAATATATCATTGGATAAGGTGGAATTTGACCATGAAGACTGCTAATAATGCCAATATTGTTGGCTCCTTGAAGAGACCAGCCCACTCTATAC